GGTATCGTGGCACAGATGAAATGCCTGTAGGATCGCTGGCCTTCTGTTTGGCTGGCTAATTGCACTGAATGGGTTTTATTTTTTAAGTTGATCTCTTGGCGTTGACCTTGTGTTATGAGAAACGAGTATCAGTTTGTTCTTTGTCCCACTTGGGGATGAAACAAAACACCTTCCGACACCCAAGTCCATTTATGGCCGTCAAGCAGTCGGCAGTGATTTCTTGCTCTTCCCTCATCTCTCCTGTTAGTGCTTGAGGGTGGTGACGCCCATCCTCAGGGGACACAGTGTGCACATAAGGCCCAAGGAGTCCCTGCTCTAACAAGACAAACTGGACATCTACTACAGGACGGTTGTTGGCCGGCCTGAAAACCTCCTCAAAGCAGCGGCAAAGCTTCACCTTTATGGCTCAGCTGCCATTATTTCCTATGACGGTGGTGCTTGGTGCACTCTTTAGTGAAGCCTCCTACACCCTCAGCACCTTGGAGTCAAATGGCTCTAACTCACAATCTCCATCAATCCGGCAGGCAGGTGCCCACACCCAGCTAGTGAGGTGCCTCTAAGGGCAGTGTTACCCCCTCCCCTCAAGCATTTTCTTCCTGAGAGCCAGGCCCCAGCGAGTGGCTCATCCCGGATTCTGACCTTCTGCCAGGGCAGGTTTGCTCCAGAACTGTTTCTTGTATACTGCAGCATAATTTCAAATCGCATGAAATAACTCATCTGGGAAAATAAAAGTCTGGATCCCAGTGGCGGTGAGACAACCTTCCCGATCAGAATAAGGTTTGCAGTGTGCTTCGGCAGCTGGGCCCTCCACGTGGTGATCCCCGAGCAGTGGCTTCCCTCCCCAGAAACTGTGCTTCATTGTCTCACGAGTCTCCGAAATGAGGTTGGGAACGTTTGCAACTCATGCCACACAGGAGAAATGCAGCCAGGATGTCTTTCGGCGGCCTCCTTCGTGGCCAAAGGAGCTGCCCATTGGAGAGCTTCAGGTGGTAAATAAAAGCAGTACGAGTGCCCTGGCCCTGTCCAAAAAGAAATTCCTAAATGACAAGAAATGAGGAGACCCAAATGACCAAGCTCCTGATTGCCACAGTCGCAGGGTTAATGGAATGTTCTCCTTAGTCATTTGGCATTTAGGGCAAGAGCTGTGTTTCTCTTTCCTTCCCTCCACCCTCCCTCCATCCCTCCCACCCTCCGTCCCTCCATTCATTCATTCAGTCATTCATTCACTCATCTAGATACGTCCTTTCCCCTGATAGAATGAAAAAGAAATAAATGGAAAAGTATAAACATTATAAATATATAATGAGTAATATATATATGGGGGGCGGGGGTATGGAGAAAAAGAGAGAGAGAGAGAGAGAGAGAGAGAGAGAGAGAGAGAGAGAGAGAATGGAGTTCCCTGGTTGCAATATGGTTATATGTTGTGAACCCCAAGGTCAGCAGTTCAAAACCACCAGCCGCTCCATGTGAGAAAGGTGGGTCTTTCTGCTAATGTAAAGAGTTAACAGCCTCAGGAGCCTACAGGGGTAGTTCGACCCTGTTCTTTAGGGTTGCTACGAGTCAGCTTCGACTCCGTGACAGTCAATTTGGTTTTGAGACTTTGCTCTAAGCTTCGGGGATACCAATGCAAAAAGGGAAATGTTGAAAGACTACGCTCTACAACATCAGTGAGAGTCCAGGTAAAAGCCACTCACTTGTTCCAGGGTACATTCTTCGAATACTCACAGTGAGATAAAAAGAAATGTCTCATAGATGAGATCTTGTGTCCACTCCAGACAACCACGTTCATATTTCCCTCCTTCCTATAAGACATATTCTAATGATTTTCTGTTCAAAGTGTTGTCACCTCACCAAAATAAGCCAAAGCTAGTACTTTCAGTTAAAAGAAATCAACAAATAATTAGAGAATCACAAAGCCCAAGGACAAACCTTGACTTGATCCATAGATGAGCCTCAGTTCTATTAAAATCCATGTAAACTGCATGACCCATAGGCAATAGACCTTAAATGCCATTTCCTGTAACTGCATTTTTTATGGGAATTAGCAGGATTTGAGCTTATAGACACCCTTCAAAATTAGAAAAGCAGATGTTCCATGCTACAAATTTGTCTTGACAACCATGTAGAGACTGGAATTGATAGTTTCTCATAGAAAAGGGCAGCATGTCTCAGGACTACCTAGCTTATATTGACCATGCTACTGACCATCGGGGGAGACTGGAAAAGAGGAAGGAGGCCCCAAAGGTACAGATTATAAACACACACACATATGTCTGGGTATGTATACACAAACATATATATGTTATATATGTACACATACATATATAACAAAAGTTGGCCATTTGAAACCTTTTTAAGTATGTACTGACTTCAGTAACATTAACTACCTTCACCATGTTGTAATGTCATTGCCAATAGCCGTTTTCAAAAGTTCCCCATCCATCACCCTCATTAATTTTTCAGCCATAATTTCCCATGTCTCTTTTCCCCAGTGCCAGGTGATTACTAAGAACCATTGTTTCAATGTATCTACTTATTCTAGCTATTTACTGCAAGTGGCATCATAGGTCTCTGCAGTCTGACTCCTTTCACTCAGCACAGTGTCTCCAGTTCCCTGTGCCTCTTTAC